GAGAGGCAAGGAAAATTTTTTGTTTTGTTTTGTTTGCCAATCAACAGGGGGGGGCCATGGCCTCCCTTGTGCCCCCCTTAGCTGACCTTAGCTACGCCAGTGTCTATATCTATGGATCCATCCATCCATCCATCCATCCATCGTCAAATAAACAAATATATAAATAATAATAATATGCTATATAATGCACCTAAATGCAAGTTGTTGAATTATGTTGAAGTAAACATTACATATTTCTTATCTGACGTTCGGGCAGTGTCAGTGATAAGCATTCACTCATATCAACAATTAATTTACATTTTGTTGTATTAATTTTAATACCTTTTTAGCCAACAGATGTCGCGATCGGCGTTATCGTCTGCAAAATATTCGCGGTGCAGCTACACAGTCACAGCAGAGGACGACTGAAGCAGTTTGGTATCTCCTTCCAGCAATTTTTCGGCATATTCAACTAGTTTTAAGTTTCTCAAACTAAACATTGCAAAGTATACGTCCGTAGGAATTGTGTCACTAATTATCATTGTAAATAACAACTCTTTACTTCTCATTTTGTATTGAAGAAAAGCAGAGTCAGAGTCACTCAGTCACTGTCAGAGGTAAGCATCTGCATGTGAACTTGTGAGTCGGATCGACTGAATTTAAAGTTAAACCATGCCCGGCCCCCGGAAGCTCGTATCAACCGCATCACGAAAATCTTCTAAGCAAGAGAGAACCCACGAAACAGTATACGATGAGTTGGATTTACGCGAGGACCAAGACAATGCTATCGGTAATAGAGAATTCACTAGATGGATTCCAATTTTTCAACGTCATACGCTTTACCAAGACAGACGGTTCTTTTAGGCCTACCATGTTTTTAGCTTTTCTTTGGAATGCTCCTCAATGTGCATCTAGTTGTCCTAGCTCTAGTGCTATAGCCATGCTTTGCTTTATAGTGAAATTCTTAATGATGTCGTTATTAAACTCACGCAATCATCAACAGAGGGAAATGATGTGTAGGCCCTATTTATAGTACCTACCTCAGTACCTGTGGCTGTAGCCTGTATGCCCTTCAATCACAATTGTTTATCTTTTTTTTAAATTTAAGTTTTGCCTTTCTATACATAAGCATGTAGTCAACCACGGATGTTAGGTTACTTCGGATTCAAGTATACTTGCCCATACACCTCATCATCATTGACATTGCCTCTGTTCTAATACTAATAGCAGTTGCCCATTCATATAATATTCGTTATAAGTATAACCCCCTGCATCGATCATGTCTGTGTGTCCATTACCTCGAGTTAATCAAATCCTGCCGTTCCTTTTTACTATTTCATCATTATTATTGTCCCTCTATGTTTACTACTACTTGCACATTAATTATCGATTATGCTTGGCTTTGATATTTCCGTATTCAGTTTTGATGTTCCTAAAGTGAAGATACTATACTCCATGAATAGAACACAAAACCAATATGTAGCTGTTTGAAAATACTTTTAGTAATACCAGAGGAAGAGACACCAGTTTGTGTCAAACCTGGTAGCTCAAAAGCATCAAAGAAAAGGGCATATCATCCAGAGGGTCCAGGTGGTGACAACGATGATGACGACGATGATTACTATGGAGATGATCAGTCTACTAATGTTGCGCCAAACGTTGGGTAAAGCAATAAGACGAAATATATACCATCAAGGTCACATAAACCATGTCTTCATAGTTATAGTGAAGATAACTTTAGCACAGGAGTGAATAAAAACGCGATTTTCAAATTTTAAAGTTTGTATTAATTTTAATTTTTTTTATCTTTGCAGGGGTGAGATGCAAAAAATGTTGGAGTGTTTTGGAGGTAAACTCAATATAATACAATCCGTATACGTGTTTTAAAATATTAGTATTTCCTATCTATGGATGGCAGGAAATAGTAGATATATAGAACAAAGTGAGTTTAAGTTTTTCATATTAATTAGATTGAATTGGCTTGAAATTTATAACAAGTATGCATCTTACAAAAAATTAACTAACTGGCGTATAATCATTGTAAACTAATTACCTTGATAACGGCCCAAAATGATGAAAATGTGAAAAAGAATTATTTGCAGAACTGGTGTCTGTGCACTTAGAATTATGGGATTTATATGAAACTTTATCAAACTAGAACTTCTATTATTGGGTTATAGAGCAGTTGTAATTCATTTACCAAAATGCTTGGTAACACGCAGCATTAAATATTAGTGTCTGTCATGACATTATTTATAAAGATAAATTAAATTATTTATTACATTTTTTTTGCTATAAAATATAGCTGATGTAAATAAGTCACTGCTGACAAAGAAAAGAAAGCTTGAACAGTTTACGAAGGAATCAATAAAAAGCAGCAACAAGAAAGTAGAAGATGTGTGGAAGGCTCAGGCTACTGAGAGGTTAGAAAATTTCAAAAATAGGACTTTGATGATGATTATACGTGTCATGTTATATCAGCAAAGACCTATAAGGCCACCCTTAAAAAATTGTTTGTTTCCCCTTTACCTACTCGCCTCTCAGGGTATCGAGTAGGTAGGTAGGTAAAAAATCTTTTTTATTTTGTTTTGACAAGATATGTGTATGTATTTTGTATATTCTGTTTTGTGTATATGTTTTTGGCGAAATAAAATAATTTTTGTTTTGTTTTAATCGGCAAATAAAATGTGTCAAGTAACGGTGTTTAGGCAAGTTGGTCGGTAAAGGGGAAACAAGCAATATTTTATCTTAGGCCTCTAATAATCATAGATGTAATTACATGCATTGTTGCGTTAGGCATTCCTATGTTTTGTTCTCAGATGTTAGATTAATTCATGTTTTTCGACTAATATATAAATTTATCATCTTCACACACATACAGACAGAGACTGAATGAAGAATACTGCCGTCAAGTGGCTCTGGTATTTGGCCAGTGGGAAGAGGATCTCACAAAGTCGAAGGATCAAGAGGAAAAACTGGTGGTGGGGCTTATGGCACAGTTGCTAACAAGATGCATCTCGATTTTACTTGCATACTAGAAACAATGTCCGTTCAAGAGATACTGGCAGCTCTAGTTCAATAAACAGTAGCCTTTCTACAAAGCTGTGGGTCTTAATATTTACTTTTATGGCAAGAATAAATGTGTATGTTAGCTATGCTAGTTAGCTACCAAGTTGCCTTAGTTAACTGTGAGTGTTCAATTCAGAGCACATTTTAACAGCCTTACTGTCCTTACTTATGTTTTGTTGTTAGACTTTATTCAGGCAGCAGCAGAAACTTTTCCAGCAAAGCCGAACACTGCAAAGTGCAAGACTCAAAACCATACGCCAACTTCACGAGTCATTTACCAAGGTAACATCTAACACTATACATAATTAACATTTGATATAAAATATCACACTCAAAAACAAAATTTAGTCGACATTTTCAGCTTCTCATAAGAGACCAATTAAATAATTTGATGATAAATTTTACATCTCAATCACTTCGATTGCTGTTTTCTGCTGAAGTCTGTCCATATTTTGTCTTTACCAATTAGTCACATTTAATAAGGTCTTCGTGATTGCATATCAAATGCAGTTAAACGACTATTGTCTGAAATTTTGGACCGAAATGACAACCACTTATGTCGGTTTACGTGATTCTGTTCTAAAGGGCATGGAGGAGTTGGAGAGCAGCCACAACCAACAACAAGGTAGTGTCCAGAGCGAGCTGCGCAAGGAGATGGCGCTGCTACAGAAGAAAATTCTCATGGATACTGTAAGTACGGTTTGCATGCCTCTTGGCCAAGTGCCATCAGCACTGAGCTCATAAAACTGTGCTGTGCTATTAACTATAGAACATGAAGTCATGCCTTCTACATTTAATTGGTAGAGGCACACATTTCCTACCTTTAGGGTGCATTTGCTTTTATTAACCTACACCTGCAATTGACTAAATGTGAATTCATAGTTCAGATTACATCTACACCAGGTTACATACTTGTCTACCTCTTCATTTCAAAAGCTTCAGTTATATTCTGAAATATTTTAGGATTAGGCCACTTGAAATTTAATAGTTACTTATATTTCTGTACCACAAAGACCATCACATAAACCTTCCACGCAGGGATAGTAAAATTCTGAATTACCTTCCAGCAACAGCAAGACATTGCCAATGTGAGAAAATCGCTACAAACCATGCTTCTGGCTGGAATGTAGATTAGTCATGGCAGTGTCAAGATGTCCTTGCATGAGAACACGAGTGTCACAACTACTGCTCAAACTGTATTGAGACTGAAGTCGTGCTCTTTAGTGAAAACACAAGTTCCATGTGATCACTGAGAAGAGCGTGAAAGCTTGAAGGAGTTGCAATTATTGTGTATTTAGTTCAAAGACAATATAAGAGTATTATCAATCATATGTTCGAGTTAATTGTGAGTTGTCTTGTTATATTAAAGAATTGGATTTAGTGCAGTTACAACGCACAGAAGGATTGTATAATTTATATAAAAATTCATGAAATACCTAAAATAATGTTATTCAGTTTTTTGTATTATGAATGTTTCATGTTTGATGGCTGATGTTCTGACAATTATTCAAGTGGCTATTAATTAGTATAATTAGTATAGTTGATTGATATAATTAACAATATTCTGAGAGGGATCTGTTAAACAACAAACCTAACACATTTGAATCAGTCCACAAAAAAATTCATAAAAATCGCTGCTATGCATAAAACACTACTATATTCTACACTCACCACATTGTATTCACGATTAATGTACACATGACGAATAAAAGCGTCAGGTACGTAAAAACAATTATTCAAGAACAAGCAATCTATTTTCACTTTACAATCTTTTTATATTTCTATATCTTTATCCACGTTTCTGTAATGTAATCTTTCGGAATAAGCTATTCTTCGGTGTTTATTTTGCAATAGATCATTCAGAAGTTCACGTCATCAATAGTCTTTCAGAATTCATATTCATAAGTTCCAGAATTAGAACAGAGTAATGAAGTGAGTCCCATATGACCCACACATGCTCTGCTTGCGCAATATGCGTGCAAGGGATGGACCTGCACTAGGACGTCCGCTTTGATTTAATACTCCATATCCTATACATTCACTAGATGCTTTCTTGTAAATCACAAACCATTTTCCAGCTTGAAAACAGGGTAGATGGCCACCAGGACAATTGTTCACAGCAGGCGAGGTGTGCATGTATGGCTTCTATTAGCATCGTATTCCCGTACCTATTGCCATGAAGGTACCAAACGTTCCACCACCCTGCAGCATCACTTTGCCAACATTGCTGAGCAGCTCTCTGCCTCTCATGCCATACCTGCAGCATAATAGCACAGATCATACAATTAGTGATATTGCAGAAATCCTCGAATTAACGCAGCTCAATAAGTGCTTGAACTCACTCTGGCTAAACTTAACATAGGTAGTAAATACATCACCCGAACAGCTTGTTAGTAAATGACATAATTGTTGCCATAAAACATTTTTTCACATTCAGATGGCAAAATATTTATTTATTGTGACAACGCTTTGAGCAGTGGCAGCACCATGGGGGGGGCATTCTCTGTGTGCATGTGTGTGTGGGGGGGGGGGTCAGCTCCTGTACAAAGGTTTTAAGGACACAGTTCACAGGAGCAATGATAATATTAATTTTACTCCATTTGCCCATATTAAATGTTGCCTTTCACTCTTTGGGTTTGAACCCTAGTCTATGTAATTTGAATTCTTATTGAGTGGCAGGCAGATCTCCCAACCCTTCTGATTTCAGCGGAAAATGTCCGCTTTCTTATTCCATTTCCCCTTTTTTTTCATGCGAAACAGCAATTTCCGTGGATAGCCTTTATTTACAACACTATTGCACTACAGTAAAATTAGAAGTTTGGATATAGATCAGAAGTGCTCTACAAGCATGTTTATTTATCTGTTTAAGGCATACAGAGGCTCGATTTTTCACCTCAAAAATGCTGTAAGGCCGGCCCCTGGACCCCACCAATTAGTTCTCGCACTACGTGCTCGAATTGGCGCTGCACGATCACAATATTTTGCTCCTCCAATATTTTTCCTTGCCCTCAGCTTGCCCCCCCCCCCACTTTTACATTTCTGGTGCTGCCACTGGCTCTGAGAGTTAATTTCCCAGTCTTTGCTTTGTAATTAGTTAAACTATGGGTGATGCGGGGGAACTAATATTTGTCTCGGTAACATTCAAGTAGCCACGTCATTAATAATTCTTACCTTAATGCACTGAAGCCACCAAACATAGCACCAGACGCCATCCCAACACAGAAACCCAGCATGAAGCCCATCTTCATTTTATCGAAACATCGTGGTCCTTGATTGTAACCACCTGGTCCAACTGGAACTGGCATTGCTGCTGTTGAGCTGCAACAGATACTGGAGTGAGATGCAATAAGAAAACTGTTACCTCTACCTACTCACTTCGACTCACAGGGATCCTTTACTCTAGGTTCTAGAGTTATTTTCAGTTAATATAGGTTAAAATTACGCTACATAAAAAGTTTCAGGGTTCAATCACAATTAGAAATATTTTTTGTTTGTTTTAAAACTAACAACTACAGTTTGATTACAACGACGGTGGCGCCACTCAAAGCGCACGATCTGAAAAGTTGCGCAAAACTACGTTTCAGCCAAGGGTTGCAGACGGGGGTGTTTCTTATTTATTAATTTAAAAGCAAAAGGATTGTGATATCTTATAAACAACATATAGTTTTAGTTATATTATGGATAAATTTGTCCTAAAATAAACATCGTTCGGTTAAATAGCATTTAGGTATAAATATAATTTCACTTTTGTGATTAGCCCTCGGTCTGTAACGTGCAAAATAAATTGTCAAATGCGCAACTTTTCCAGGGTGGCAGCACGGTCGCGGGTGTCAATGGCGTCGTTCAAATTTTGTAGCGTTGATGTATAATTAATTATAACAACTAAATTAGGTATCTGGTAACAAGTACGTGTGGGTATAGACGATTTGTTATACAGTAAGTACAGTTGTATGCAGTAAAATCATAGAGTCTAGTATCCCTTTAAGTTTCCAGGGTTTGAAATTTAACGGTTGTCCATTAGTCTGATAACTGCCAGATTTACTCTACACATTGTTATCACCATGTTTCACCTTCAAAGGACCCATTCAAATTTAGTTTCACTGTTTCTTTAAATCGTTACTGGCACTCTCTCAATATCATGTTTAGTAAACTGTGACACTGAAACCTTCGTTGCTGCTTTTCGCAACATCAATCTACTGAACTGATCGATGTCGAATTCCTTCTTCATTATAATTTAGGCCGTGGCTACGCGACCGGTTCCGGACGAGGAGCCGCTAGGCTACGCGTCCGGACATCCATCTCACACCAGGGCTCGAATTAACCGACGGCACCGACGGCAATTGCCGCCGGTGCCCCTATCAATCGCCGTACTGCCCCTGAAAATCCAACCCGACCGACGGCAGTCAACCTGCCTTGCCCTTTTTCTGTATTGCGTTCGGTGCTCTGCGCCGTAGACTGGTTCGCGGCGCGACTGTTTGTCGCAGAGCTGTACATTGTCTAGGCAGAGCTCGTGGAGGCCAGGATTCCGACTCTACCCATTCGGCAAAAACACTATAACCGCTACAACGTGGCTTGCTGCCCAACCGCTGCCGTAGACGATCGATAAATCGTGCCGCCTCGTGCTATGAGCGTGGGTATAGAACGTACGAATTATTTTAAATGTTCTGGCACGTGGACTCGGCCCGCACTGCGATTTAAAGCACTGGGAAACGGACGCGTCGCGCTAAGATGGCCAGCTTGATCCGTATGATGCGTAGAATTGCTAAGTAGCAGATAAATTTAGAGAAATTTTTTTGTTAGAATTCATACGATGACACAATAGTTTGTTCATAACAATGGCGTCTGGGTTCTGGCTAGTGAAAGTAGGTGAGGCTGGGGCGTTTCCTCGTCTTTACTAGCCGATGGCTAGTGATATAAAAAGTAACATTGAACCCTGTTACTGTACCTTTCATTAGCAGAGGTTGATGTAAATTAATTTGTTATGAGTTTTCCTTTATTTTTACAAAAGTGCCTTGGTGCCCTTCTCAAATTGTGTAGAGTTGCCTTGATGCTTTTAAAATCTGCCTCGTGCCCCATCCATTTTAGAGAAAATTCAATGGCAATTTCTCACATGCCCCCAAAAAATGGCCCTTGGCCCCTCTCGTCCTTAATTCCGACTGCCTGCTCTCACACAGTGTGATCTTGCGACTAACGTACGACGCATGATTGCCGCAACGAGACGCTCTGCTGTATTGCGTAGGTGTGTTGTGTGTGTGGCATGGAGAGAGAGAGAGAGAGAGGAGGAATGGTTGTTGGGTTAGGCTGGTGGTGTATGCGTGTAGAGAGAGAGAGATGAGATGAGAGAAGAGAGGACAGAGAGATGGATGAGAGAGAGAGAGAGAGAGAGAAGCAGAGGAGAGACAAGAAGAGAGCAGAGAGCGGAGGAGAGAGAGAGCGCGAGGGCAAAGCGCCCTAGAGTATGTGTGTGTGAGAGAGAGAGCTAGAGGTGTGTGAGAGAGAGAGAGAGAGCTAGAGGTGTGTGAGAGAGAGAGAGAGAGAGAGAGAGCTGTGCGTGTGTGTGAAAGAGAGAGAGAGAGCGAGAGAGGACGGATGAAAGGATAGATGGCAGCAGTGCATATATTGTATATTTATGGCAATCAGCATAGCGTCCTATTGCGCAAGCATGCGTGTACGCAAATCGCGCGATCACTGTGTGAGTGGATGTCCGATGCGTAGCATGGAGGCTAGGCAACCAGTTCCAGACGCATAGCCACTGCGTATAATCTATTGCATAGGACTAGGAGGAGTTATAATTTGGAGATTACAAGAATACAAGAGCACTTACCCGAAGTGCCTAAATATAAGAGTAATCGGTGGGAGCTAGCCTGACAAGGCTGTAAGAATAATATTAACAGAGTGGCTATATGCCCGGCAGCCGGCATGTATCTGACGGCTGCCGAGCACGGTCTTCGATTTCCTAAATGCCCGGCAGTTTTTAATTTTCAGCGTTATCTCAAGTAAACAAGGGTTAGGGTTAGGGTTAGGGTTAGAGTTATGGTTAGGAACTGCCAGACGATTAGGAAATCGAAGACCGTGCCCGACTGCCGGGCATAGAGCAATTCAAAAATTCAAATTTGCAAAAATACAATGATGCAGGAAACATTATTTTGAAGGGTGAAGGGTTAGCGACAGCGTACCCACAGCGTTATATTAATACATGATTATGTAGCATGGCCTTGCAGTTGCAACACACACCACCGTTCCTGCTTTAGTTTAGCCAGGGAGGGAGCATGTGTACTGTGTTGAGCATGGACCTGCTGTTTGCAGACAACCCTGCCCACTATCTCCTATTGTATGCACATCTTAGATTCTATGCATAGGTGTCTGATGTTCAACTACAATGATAGGTGTAGCCTAGTCATACGCCATTACTACAGTACAGTACAGACTAGTAGTAGTAGTACTAGTACATGATTACAGCCTGCCCAATCACTTTCCCATTGGCATTGCAACTGCAAGCCACGTCTACATTTTCCGGCAACTAAAATTCACATAATGAAAGGAAATTACTTTGTATAAATATACAGCCAAGCAATTCGGCGTACGGTGAAGTTTTAATCACTTATGGAGTAGAAATGAATCTCATGTGCTTGAAAAACGTTCTACATGGAAGCAGCCATATTATCTTCCCATAATGCAACGCATTAATTAGAACTATTTATATTTCATTTTTTTAATTTTAATATTCTAGCTTTTCCTAATATTCTTTCTTTTATTGTACAGCACTATATTTTATTTGCACACAGCGGACTACGGCACTCATTTCCATAGGATATTATGTCTGTATATATGACTTTTCATCAATCTTTTCAATACCTTTTCACATTTTTGTCAAAAATACCTCCTCCGTTGCTGGCATAGAAATACATGTACTATACTAGTGTCTCTATATATTTCTATAGTTACTGGTTACGTACATAAGGTGTCCTACTAGCATTGTAATTATAAGTGTTTGAGTGAGCTTACATGTGGTATTTCTACTTCATACCAAAATCAATAACATAAATCAAATAATCATAAAAAACCATGTATTATATATAGACAATATTATACAATTAGACATAAGTCCCATATTATTCCACGTGTTAACACACACTCACAAAGGCAGTTAATGATACATATAAAAGCAGGCGATGCCACACAAACTAGAGCTGAGAGGGTCTATGTCCCCCCGGGTACTGCCGGAACGTACCCTGGGTACGGTCCGGTATACCAGAACGTACCCTAGTACTAAATACTACTATCTAATATGCCGGACAATACCTCGCCTACTCCATTAACGAGTCAAGGAAGTCGCCTACGCCTACTCCCTAACCCTAACCCTAACCCTAACCATATCAGCTAGATAGTTACCAGGGTACGTTCCGGCAGTACCCTGGGGGACATAGACCCTATGAGCCGAACTAGAGTGTGGTTGGTAATATATCAATCAAACATGACACGAAATGTTACACTGTTGACCTAGGAACATTATAATACAACACAGCACATCTATATAGCCCTACGTGGATTTTTTAAGGTGCGGACAGAGCATCTAGATATGTTTGCGTGTACGCTTTCCACCAGTCTGCCTTGCTTTCTTCTCTATGTAGCGCTTCAGGTCAGAATTCTCAACAAGGTCTGCCATCTGTAAATTTTTCTTATTGTCGCAGCCCAACATGGGACACCTATGTATAATAAGAGAAAAATAATAGAGTAGGTACTAGTCGGCTGAAAATTCAAGCAGGGTATTGCAGTGCCTTTCTACATTTAGAAAAAAATCTTTTTTTTATTCTAACCAGACTGACCCTTGGGATTATGACCTAACATTACAAAAAAAACACATATTTGGCCCACCATCACCACAGTACCTGAAATTCTGGGACAATTGGGGGTTACATCAAGTAAGTCTTCTTGGAGATGTGCTGACCACATTGTATGAAAACCGCTTGATGAAATTTTGAAATGCTTGACACCAATAAGAAACAAATTTGTTCCACATATAAGACCATTTAACCTAATAGTTCAGTACATTGGTATTATTACCCCAGAAGAATGAAGTTGCCTGATATTTGTCCAGCTTACCTCACATTCTTCCGTGCCTCCAGCATCTGCACAACACTGGCTTTGTCATAGTTGTGCTTGCAGATCGTATTTTGCACAGGATTCGTCATTTCCGTCAACATGAAGGGACACTTTGTGACGACGTCCTGCTGTGTGACTATGAGTCCTGAACGTTCAAGATCAGAACTCTCAACATTCTCACTAAGCTGTTCCTCAGCCTCACCTGCAACAGGAGGGTAAGTGAACCTAAGCAGGGAATCAAAGTCCATGTGGTGTGCTGTATGAGAACTGGCTGCCATACATATATGCACGCACGCACGCAAGCATGCACAGAGAAAGATAGATAAAGATAATAAAATTAAGAGCAACTACGTTGCAAAACACACCGACAACTATTCTAATATATTCATCCGTGATAGCGGTGCCTAATCTATAAAGGAGACTTGATGCTTCCCTTGAACGGGAGTTGTACAGAGTAACAATATATATGTAATGGCCACCTGCCTACAAAGAGAATTTGCGGCATTTCCCGTGAATGACCCTGGTTACTTAAATACAGCATACAGGGTTGACTGTACCTGGCTGAAGCATGTCAGTGACTTTCTGTAACATGTCTTTGTATGCCTTATGCTCCTTCAGTGCATCAGCGTCCGTCGCGGAGCTCAGTTCGCGAAACTTGTCGTCGAAAATTTCCTCCAAGTTGGCACCATCGTTGCTTCCATTAATCGCCTAGAATAACCAAATCGTATTGCAAAGGTAATGTGTATATCACACGTGCATGCAAGTCCTAGAATTTAAGGAAATTCAATTTGATAATATTTGACAGAAGGAAGAAAGTTGCACGATAGCTTTTGTGATAACTTATAGTGTAGTTCATTGCATTGGCTTTAAGTTGTTGGCAGGCAAACCGAAAGACATATGAATAGCGTTGGAGCCGTGGTCCCACATGGTATGGCTCTAAAAAGTAGAGCAGCTAATCCTGTGGATAATGAAATCCTGGCTTCTTTAAATAATACACAAGCCTACTGTGCATTTCTACCTGCTTAGCATGCTCAGTGGCACTTCGGAAGTGTCCCAATTCTGTCTCCATCTCAACGAATTTCAGCATTACATTTTTCAGGTCTGATAATGTTTCTTCATTTAAATCTGAAAATAAATACCAAAATCAATTCCTCTGCTGATGAATACAAGTAAGAATTACTTTTATTTCACTGTAAACGTCAAACTTTTCAATGTAACTAAACCTACTGCAACTGCAGCAAGGATATCATTTTTATACAGCAGTTAAACTTTCCCATTGAGAGTAATCACCACCTCATTAACATCCTGGATCTGCCCTTTATTCACACATACCGTAGTTACTCATGTATAAGTAACACTTTTTTGTATGTCTATAAAAAAATCAGGAGTGCGACTTATACACGAGGCTAAGAAATCTTGTTAATGTACCAATGTTTGTACCAACTTTTCAAGGCAAAATATGGGGTGGGACTTATATAATATATACAAATGCAGCGTTCGAAATTAGTGCCGACCCGGAGGCCCGAGGCCACCAAGCTTTTGCTTTGGCTACCATCTCTACGAAACTGCCGGTCCTCCTGACCGGCACTTTTTCCCCTCATATTACGCAGAAATACTACGGTTATCGCAACGGTTGTTTAGACAGACTTGTAAACTGGAGCGCATTCTAATACGCTCCGTTCCTGAGCATAGACAGGGTATCCAAAACATCTAGAGCCGAGGGCATGAACTCCCTCAACGCATGATTCGCCACACGAACAAAACCTCGTGACAGTCTAAAAAATCGATTGCGGCATGACCCCAGTGTTTTTATGACCGCATAACAATAAGTTCATATGTCGCAGGGGTTATCGTGGGGAGTGAGGGCACGACCAGTGATACCTGACACGCACATAATCAAAGCTGTTAACTGAATTCGTCACTTTTCTTTACGTAGAAAGTGAACTATTTTTATTCAGTTGGATATCTAGAAGCAATGTAAACTGTATCAAGATTCTATAGGCACTTGTAACTTTGCGGATGTGTGGCAGCATTGATCTATGCATGGGGGTACCGTGGACTGGGGAGGAGAAAAACGAAAGTAAAACCTTTCCCACAAGCTCCCCCGCCATTCCTTGAGCTTGAGATATATTATTTTATCATTGTTAATGCCAATGGTTATTTTTGTATACTATTTTGTTACTCACTGCTAGTAAATAAGCGGACCACCAACTTCTGTGCAGGACCACCAACTTTCTGAAGTTGGTGGTCCTGCTGTCCACTAGATTTTCAGCCAAAATTCGAACCCTGTACAAATGCGACTTATAGTTATACATGTGTAAATACGATAAATTACCTTTATCACATTCTAGCAGATCCAATGTTGCGTTTGTAGTCATTTCCATACCTGTTGCCAGGTACTCATCCACCTTAGCCAGATTTCCAATAGCCTGTTCAATAACGCCAAGAGGCGCTCGGGTCATCTTGATAGGTTGTCTACAATCCTGGTGCAAACGAGCTAAATACCTACTAATAACAGACGAGCAAACTTAGTAATATAGCATTCAAATGGTTAGACGTTCTGAGAGTTTTATTTATTAAACGTTCCAAATACCTGGCTGTACTAAGTCTTAGCCGAAAGCCCATTTCAGGCGAAACATCGTCATCAAACATATCTATGACGTCTCACGATGAACCAGTACCAAGTCTGACACTGTCACTGATGCTCATAGGGTCTATGTCCCCCAGGGTACTGCCGGAACGTACCCTGGGTACGGTCCGGTATACCGGAACGTACCCTGGTAACTATCTGATATGGTTAGGGTTAGGGTTAGGGAGTAGGCGTAGGCAACTCCCTAGTACTCGCAGCTATAGGGCCTGCATACCTTCCATATCCCATTGGTTGATACAAATCACGTGCCTGAAACTATTGTTTTAATAAAACTTTTATGGTGCATTGTGACCCTAACCCTAATCCTAACCCTAATTAAAATTTAATTACAAAAATTAACTAGATTTGTATCAACCAATGGGATTTGGGAGGTATGCAGGCCCTAGCTGCGAGTACTCCATAGACTCGTTAGTTGAGTAGGCGAGGTACGGTCCGGCATATTAGATATTACCAGGGTACGTTCCGGCAGTACCGCAGATGGGGTCGTTGTCGTATCAGGTACTACAGATATCATGATATGTACCCGAGGTAGTTTTAGGTTGTTTAGTATTATGTTTATATTTTTATGAGGTATGTTTAGGGTTAGGGTTAGGGTTAGTGTTGGGGTTAGGGTACACTTCTGTAGTACAAGTCTGGTACACTTTGTGTATACATATATGTACCTCGGGTACATATCTAGCTGTAGTACCTGATACGACAACGACCCCTTGAGCGGCAGTACCCTGGGGGACATAGACCCTCTCAGCCTGTTGGTACTACCAGATACAAACATGTATTAACTATTATGTAACCGAAGAGAGTAGGTAGCTTGATCCCAGAATATGTATCAATTATCAATAGCCTGAAAAGGCATGCATTGTGCCTTTACGGGCGTTTTCAACGCCGAACTCTCCAGCACCGCATCGACTAGCATCTGCAAATAATATTACTACTAGTATTAGTATTATATCTACCCATGATGTAGCTCCAAGAAACGGTCTTGCTAGGGTTAGAAGACAATCAGACAAATAGGCCTAGACAATCACTGAATCAGTCGCACAGCCTCGTCGGGCTAGCCATATTCATATATCATATATGACTAGGCTAAGATTATTCGAAAATACGATTATAATATTAAGATTTATCGAAGTATTAAGAATTAATCTACTTAAATGTGCCTAAACCACAACTGATTACACGGTAACGGTTACTTAAAATAACTTACAGCAAGTTTTAACCAGCTACAAACAAATCAGCTCGAAACAAATTACTTTAGAAATATTTCCCGCGGGTCAGTGGCGCCATCTCTACCGAGATAAGTTATCAATTTTTGCTATTTTTTGGCATATATACCTATATTATTCATGATATTGCGTACGAGACGTTATGTACCCTTATTTTATTAATATAGCCTATACGATTAAAAACCCAGCATATAATTATATATTTTAATACAAATTTTTGGTAAATGTATCCATTTCCTTCTGCTATATATTACCAAAAGTACATAATAGAGATATCTATTATGTAATCTAAGAATCTCTATTATTACTCTAGAATATATATTAGGTACTCTTGAATTTACATTACCTCGAGTAACATATCTTTACCAGACATGGCTTACTAGGTTATGTCAAGTTATGATTATTACATTAGAATAAATTATCAATATATTGACCACAACAAGGTTCCATAAAAATATTTTATGATGCTATTGACGATAACTAATAATCACATTCTATGACAAAAACTAATTACAGAAAATACAACAGTGATTTTGTTAGATCATAATGTTACACTACTTTATTGACACCTGCAAATGCTCACAATGCCTTGGCCAACAAAACAAACCTCCACACATCACATTTATCCAGTTCTTGGCAAATAACGACAGCAAACATCAGAATGTGGATAAAATTATTCAATTTCACCTTGATTTCCTTTAAATAGTGAGAAATTGACATCAAACGATAGTAAATCTTGCAATTCAGTTGCAATAGCGAATTCTTAATTATGTTTTCTTAAGTCTCATTGAAACTGTATGTTTCGGGTAGTATGAATTTATGAACGAGAAATCATTATTTAGTGTTGCTGATGCAATCAAAATTAGTATATAAAAAATATATATTGTTAATGGGATCGGGAAGCGTTGCATGTTGCTGGCCACACGTTCCGTGTTGCTGCCCATGCATTCCGTGTTGCTGCCCACGTGTTCCGTGTTGCTGCCCACGCGTTCCGTGTTGCTGCCCATGCGTTCCGTATTGCTGGCCACGCGTTCCGTGTTGCTGCCCACGCGTTTATGCTGTTGCTCAGAGCTTTGTATCGCTCTACAGGCATATTATTTCAAAGCCCGTTACCTTGCCTGCTATGCACACAGGTGGCTTATGCCAAGATATCCTGGCCACATACGTAACAGACACAGCGCACACCAGCATAGGTGGCGCCAGTGCATCCTCACCGTCATTACAAATTCCGAGATAAGAAACAAATAATCACGATGTGTGGTGGCCCGCAGTGCTCGCCGCGGCACGGCCGCGACAAACAACTGGCAGCACGGATACGATCGAAAACAATTATTTACCGTTTTTTAAATATATAATATGGATATACTCATACTGCAGCGTGCGGTCTCGTGGAGATGTGTAGCTGGAGCGCCGAGCTCAGGGGCGGTGACGGACACGATCGCAGTCACAACAACGACAACAACAACAAAAGCACGTCTCTCCGTCGCCGAGAAGTCATGTGCCAATGCTGCGAGTCGGCAACGTCGATGCAAATTTACACTATCAACACTCGGTAGTTGTGCGGTCGTCCACTCGTCGGCGCGCGACCGCCGACGACGGCGCGAAGCGGCGGCGGCCGTGCGCACCCTGGGCCACGTACTGCCCGGACCTACTATCGTTGCATGGTTCAGATCACAGCTTGCCGATACGACACACGACGATCAGTTCACCCACGGGCGATGCCGGTACGGCCGTGAACACAGCCACAGTCCACAAGCAGCATGGCGGCGACGGCGGCCGGGCTCGATCGATTCACTACATTCATCCGAACCATGCACACAGTCGAATTTCGCGTTTGAGTCTAAAAATGTTCTGCTCTGTAGAAGCTCTCGAGTTTGAAAACCTTGCCACTAATGTAGTGCAATAGATGCATTGTGCTCCCGATGTCTATTACAATGCACCTGACAGCATGTAGATGGCGCTGTTGTCGTCCCTGTCGCTCGCTCACCAGCACGTTGCCACATCACGTCTCCGATGAACATTACACAAATAAGAAATATAATATTGTGTTTTATAATATGCACGTCGAGAACTGTCTTCCTTGTGTTAATATTTTGAAGTTTGTTGAACTGCTGAAGAGTAGGTCCAAAAGTCACTACCGGATTAATGGATTGATACATTGTGAGTAATACCTTCACATCACCAAGTTCACACACGCGCGCTATAACACTAAGTTGTAACATAGTTGTTTTCATAACCAACGGCGGCTAATGCTATTAAAGTTATATATCCACGCGCCAAAATCAAAGTAGTATGGCGCTCAATTATCGTAAAATTTGCAGTGAAGCTCTACAGTCCCACGATTATAAAGAATGCGATGACATTCGTAAACGTCAAGCTATTCGAGGGATGTCACTTTAGTTGCATGATACGGTGTTCTTGTCGTCATCATTCGTGCACCTAATGTTTCACCTCGCGACGTCAGAGTTTAGTGACGCATGTCACGGTTGTCTCTATCCCTTCTCGGTCGATCGCAACGCTCCGGTCGCTCCTACAAGAACAACAATACTAAATCACTACGAATACATTACGAAGTCGCGTACATGCATTCTCAGGGAAACACCGGTAACGACTCGTTTTAACAACGTCAGAAACTCGACAACCATGCACTCAACAACAGATCTCTCCACATCCCTCGGATGCGGCACGAGACGCAATAACCAAACCTTTTTAATGCTCTCCTCTTCCTGCCTCTTCTCGTAATGGATGAAGTCGTCGAAGATGGAGGTGGTGTGCAGGTAGAGCGAGATGATCTTCAGCACTTGCTTGCCCTGCTCGAAGGGCACCTCCTGCGTGTCGCGCGAGTTAGTCACGGGCTTGTTCTCATTGTTCTCGAGACGGATGTGCCTCAGCTGACTGTTGGGCACGTCCTTCACGTAGATCCACTTCACCTGGAACTGTCCCTTCCACTTGCTCTGCGCCCAGACGCCGCTCTGGGTATCGTAGTCCACCTCAGACAACATCTGCGCCACGCCGCAGAAGTGGCCACTACCGTTCACACTAAACAGCAAGTAGACGGGTCCCTTGCCGTGGCGCTCCTTGAACGCCTGGTCGAGACGTCGGTTGCCGTGCTCCGTGCTGCACCAGATGCTGTACTTGATTGAGCGGTGGATGTCGTCCTCCGAGTAGCTCTTGATGATGAAGAATCGCGCACCCTTCGGGTTGCAGTCAAAGTCGTGCGGGTTGTACTCCTGGGACGCGTGCAGCTTGTCCAGCACAGGGTGCAAGTCCTCACGCGCCGGAGGATGACTGGGCAGCTGCTGCTGCTGCGGCGGCTGCTGCTGCTGCTGCGGGTGATGATGATGATGCGGCTGGTGGTGGTGCTGCGGCTGCTGCTGCTGCTGCGGGGGTAGAGACTGCGGATGCGAGGGTCGAGGCTCGCGCGCCTGTGGCGGAGCTTGCTGGTGCTGCTGCTGATGCTGCTGCTGGTGCTGCTGCTGCTGCTGGTGCTGCTGCTGTTGCTGCTGTTGCTGCTGCTGTTGCTGCTGATGCTGGCTAACGCCAGGAATCACTTGCGGCGTCGGCATCTGGCTGTACGCACCGGGAACGCCGCCGCGTCCTCTCGGCCCGCCCCAAGCCTGTCGAGACTGCATCCCGCCCATCGGCTTACTCATGCTGTTCTTGCTATCCCACGTGCCGATATCTAAGCTCTTGCCGGGCAGCATCGGGGCCGGCGGGATGCTCTTCGGTTTCATTTTCGGCTGAGAACGCGCCGGCTGGCTGGCGATCGACGCCCACGTCGTTTTCTTCGGCTGCGAGCGCGGCTGCGAGCCGAAGTCGCTCGACTTGCTCACCTCGGCCTTGCGGTCGGAGTCCTTCGCCGCGGCGTTGTCCCTCAGACTCAGCCCACTCACTCCCTGCTCCACCTGCTTAATACCAGCCGTGTTACGGTCCATGCCGTTGGCCATGTTGTAGTCGGCGTAGTAGTCGTCACGGTAACCCTGCCCCGCGCGCGCCGCGGGCCGGGCGCTTCCCCACGTGTTGTAGTCACCTCCGTGGAACACATTAAAGCCGGTTGGCTGGCTGTAGCCGAAACTCGACTGGCCGAACATGCCGTCAGACACGTAGGGACCCGGCTGCTGCTCGCCTCCATAGCTAAGGAACGCCATGGGATCGCCTCCACTTGACCAGGCTCCTGCATCGTTGATTCCAGGGCTCATGTAGGGAAAGCCCATACCGCCAGAGTAGTAGTTTGATACGTACGGATCGGCCATGTTGCTATTGTACTGTAAGTAATCAAAGCTTCCATTGAAATTTTTGGTGAAAACTTCACAGTATAAAAACACAGTTTTTACATACCAGGTATTGAAAGTGTTCCAGTGCCTGTTTGGAATTTGAATAACAAGTGCCGCATAGCGACAGCGCTCATCTAACGTCTACTGCGGTGACTCTGTGGTGGAGTGGTGGGATTCTAGTAAACCCTGTTAGTCCCAAATGTGTTCACATACATGCCGAAATAGTGCGAATGCACAGAGATGGTATCAGGACCTTCTCAAAAAGAATGTTCGTTGGATCGTTATGAAAGTTGCCACGAGATGGCGCGTACGTTTAAGTGTCTTCAGATTAAAGATGGAAGCTCCCATCATTCGTAGTAGCAACAACTATTTGCAAGACAGAATATGGTAAGCACTCATCCATTTACCTACGCAAGCCTACAGGCTGCAAATAGAGAGCTGCCACCTGCAACAATATAACGCAGGCAAAAAAACTGCCCCAACACATGCACTCATTGCACTGGCAGCAGCCACTGGCAGTGGCATACGTTACATGTAACATACTGACACTACAGAATGCCATATAAATTATACGATTTAAGGAGCATAAACCTTCTTTAACCAAATTTAGCTTTTGAAATTCACTGTGACATTGTAAGCCTCATACATCCAGGCATGTATAGATTCTACTAGCAAACCGGCAGTACCAATTCTTTTCTAACAGACACTCAACAAATCCATGTTTAACCCTCTCTTGAGTGTCAAAAGGTTATCAGACACTTACTTCTTCCATCGTCAGTGGAAAGCAGATTTCATGGGTCCTTTCAATAAGCCATAAAATGATAGGTCCCGCCTTGTGAAACAAAAAAGTTTTCCAATCGCTCGTCAGACCATGTCCTCAGTAAAATGTCTAAAATCATGCCCTGCTGCTCCATTGCCTGTGACCTAGTGGACTCCAATTTCGGCCACAGTGATGGTTTTCCTACTCCATGATGCCTATACACCGACTATCACGAGCCTAGGTCGAGCATTTAGGATTTGTGCCGCAATCTGCCATTTACCTCCCTATACCTTAACGTTAAGGACGTGAATGTTCCCCTTCTTTTACAACTCTTGACCTCTGACCTTTGACCCCAGCCTTTCGACATCCCAACTTCGTTTTGACGATCCCCCCCAACGACCCGAATATCGTGACCGTACGTCGAGCGGTTAAGATTTGTGACCCAACTGTTGAGCACGACGACCCGGCTCGGACGGACGGACGGACGATCAAGCGATTCTACAAGCTGCATCTGACTATGTCAGATGAGCTAAAAATCAAACAGTAGGACCACAAAAGAGTTGTACTTCTACAGATTTACTGCTACCAATAAAAAAATTCTATAACTAAATAACAAAATATCATGCATAAAAGTTCTGTAAAAATTGGTACACATAAATACAACGTTTTTGTCCAAGCATAATGTCTAGTAATGCTTCATGTACCATATTATCATTATTATACACTCCTGATATTATTTACCTGCTGTTGGCTGTGGAAATAACCATCAAAATCTTCATTGTCTTTATATGTACCAGATCCTGCAAGGAACACGAAACATATTCACCGACTTTAGATACATAGCTTTAACTTTACCATGTGTGCACCACATGACAACACAGTTAACAGAAAGACCATTTAAGTGAATTGGTCAAACATGAAATATATGGTCAGGAGTTGACCAGACAGCGTCTGAAAAATAGATGTACAAGTACGCAATTTTTATTGATTATTTTAAGACTATTATATCAGATAGATTACTGTATACGCTGTATATTTCACGATGGTTTAATTTTCGCAAATTTCGCAAAAATATGGCATATACAGTACCTTGATTTCCAGGCTGCTCTTTCATTCGCTGCTAAAAACAAAGATAAATTGCTTATCAGAACTTTGTGTAATTTAAAAAGCTTTTTCAAAACTATTTCAGGGGTTATTTCATATTGATTAGTTCTGTAAGGCAACTATTGTTGATGTTGACCCAATGCTCACACAACGCCCATTACTATCCATTTTTAAGTCAAATCATTACTCAGCACTTGGATGCCCATTATGTTTACATATTATAATGAAACATAGGGAGCTCATAATAGCACATCCCGATTTCGGTGTTTACTAATAATAGACACCTGTTATATTGAAAGTTGTACATCCCCTGTATTACTATATATAGATGTCAAATCTATGGGCAGTGTGTTAGGTCCTACACACATCCTACCTTATAAACGACACTAACAGTTGACATCCGTCAATCATCACTTTTCAGCAGAAGTGGGAGGGCTTTAATGTTAAATTAAATTATTGGGATAAAAAAAACCTAGCGCTTTTACCCAATAAATTTACACCTATGCACAAATTGAAGTTTTCCGTCGTCACGTCACCGGACATGATTTCAAAGGGATCTGACCTATGCTGTTGGCAATAACAAACGATGAGGCCATCCTTAAAAGTCCCAGGATAGCGGAGAAAGGTTCGACTTTAGAATAAACCCAGTTTGGAAGTTCTAGTCTCGAAAAACGCACCATAAAACCGCCCTGAGTGAATCACTCAGGGGCTCCCCCAAAGAAAAGAATAGACTCGTGTTGTAACCCTACTCTTGTTGGGTTACATTATTGTATCTAGGTAGTGCTAATCACCCAAAGCAAAAATTAAGCCTCCGTAGTGGCGCTAGATAACAACCGTTTCTCATATATTTAGAGAGTAATGATTAACAGGAACTAGTAGTAATTAAATTATGATCTAACCACACTCAAATGAGCTGCTAGACCTTGATAGCGCAGAACACAAACCGGGGTTACATACCACAGGCACTTGGAACTTCTCAATAAATAAAAAAAAGGTAAATAAACATGAAATGTATTTACTACCAGTCGTGATGTTTCTCTACTCTATGTCACCTATTATTGCCGATAATTACCCGTAAATGCCGGTAAAATGCTCATCTGCAACGCACAAGTACACTGCACGCCTGCTCTGTGCACAAACAACATGAATAAGAGAGCGGGTAGGAAAGCGTGATTGCAAAATTCGCTCGACGCTCGCTTCATTTCACACCTTCACAGCACGAATACACATCCAACAGCTTCCATCTTGGTATCTGTCTAGCTAAATGTTAACTTGTTCAAATTATAACTCTTTCCTTTGTCCTTACCTACTCCCGCCAGAGATATCTCGTGAAATCCTGCAGGAAATGTTTTCTCCGTGAAAATGTAAAGAGGATATAAAGAGGACGAGATGTCTGTTTATACACGAGTAATGGTGGCTTATTGCATGCCGGGATGAGCTGCTGCCTGCCTCCAAGCCTCTGTTTCGAGGCCCGCCAAGCCAAGCATAATGCACGCTAGCTCTAGAACTATAGCCCTCCGCTCCGCCGCAGGGCTATAGAACATACTATGGTAATTTCCAGGTAGTAAGCAAAGACAACTTTTTACGGTTAATAACTTCTTTGGTACGCCAAATAAAGCACATTCTCTGTCACACAAATGTCTTAAGTTACTGCAAACACTAAAATTAAACTGCAAACTAACGGTTAAATGTTGTACTTGCTATATTACTCGTCGACAAATATTATTTACAAACTTGTCACCGCCATTTTTTGTTGCGCGGCGATAGCGCGGTTCCGGCGCCAGTGAGCAGGCACAATGTATTTCCAAGTGGAGGGGTGGGCAGGTTGCACGCGGTTGCAGGCTGTTGCGGCAGACAGAGGACCGATGGCAAAGACCCGCGTATCGATGGAGAAACAGGAGAATACGTGCATATGAATGGCAACAGAAACAGAAACAGAAATAGAAACGACGGTTGATATAACCGCGTGCAACCTGCCCACCCCTCCACTTGGAAATACATTATGCCTGCTCACTGGCGCTGGAACCGCGCTAGCGCCGCGCAACAAAAAATGGCGGTGACAAGTTTGTAAATAAAATTCGTCGACGAGTAATATAGCAAGTACAACATTTAACCGTTAGTTTGCAGTTTAATTTTAGTGTTTGCAGTAACTTAAGACATTTGTGCGACAGAGAATGTGCTATATTTGGCGTACCAAAGAAGTTATTAACCGTAAAAAGTTGTCTTTGCTTACTACCTGGAAATTGCCATAGTATGTTCTATAGCCCTGCGGCGGAGCGGAGGGCTCTAGTCAAGGGCGTCGGAACTGCCGCGGCA